GCTACCTGGGATTCGAGTTTGGCAACGCGTACATTTTATTTTTCCTGAATCGCGATATTCGCCAAGAGTTCGTGCTGCGGTCCTCAAAAATCCGTGCTTGCTGCCCGAAAGCGGTAATTACGGTAGATGCCGAGAGGTATTCGGAAAAACCCGCGGGCAAAATAAATAAATTGTAAAAAAACGTGACACATGACCGAACCTAATGGAATTCCTCAAAAACTGGGAGCTAAAGGAGCATAAAATGATGCAACATTTTCACACAACTGAAACAAAAAAAATCAAAAAGGTTCTTTGGCATTATCAGGGGGGGTGAGATAGGCTAGAAATTCCTATTAACATAATCGTAATTTTTTTAGCAGTTTTTAGTAAAATGTGGCAATATTTCTAAGGCAAAGGTATCTAAATCTTCCAAAAAAAATTCAAATTTGTCGAAAAATCTTTGTTTTTGTGATCAAAATTTGTAAAGTTTGTACGTGAAGAACTAACAGAAATAGCTTAGAAACACTGCATCTATTTATACAAAAAATGGATACTAATCCCCCCCCCCCGATAATGATAAAGTTCCAAGGCAGGTTTTGCAAGAAATGGCTCTGCTCGAATTATTAGATCTTGTTTGGTGTATGGGGCGAGACATTCTTGAAACATTAAAATTTTATACCAACCCAACAGGATGAACAACAACAGCAAATCACAGCAATAATAACCCGTAATTGGAAAAGAAAGCTTTAGCTAATTAGGCCGGAAAAGCCGGAATCAACCCCGCTAATTCACTAGGCCTCGACAGCTACGCGTCGATACTTTCAGTATCCTGGAAAATTGTCGAACTGTCAAAAACTAGTCTATAGAAAGTGTCGGTTCTTGACTTTCTTGCCTATTTAAATACGAAATAAAAGGTAATATTTAAATCGCCCGTTTTTTACAGTTAGCACAATATTCTCAAGTCGAAATTTTTCGCGTCAGATTGGAGACAGTCAGCTGTGGAGCCGTACCTGAAAAAGAGAATTTCGCGGCAGGCTAGCAGAGATTGTTTGATGGAAACCTACTTATTCACGCGGTCCCATTCCTTTCCAACAATTGCAAGTTGCCATTCTCCAATTCCACTTTGGGTCGTCTAAAAAGATGTTGCGCATAAAAATGGGACACATTGCAGAAAAACTCTGGTAATTCTGTCCACGTTCTGTGCCCAAAATTAATAAATTTTGCGTGTCTCTGAATCGCAAGAAAACTCCACAATCAGTTTCGCCTCGTTTTCGTGGTGAAATGGACACGGTAGCGGGCTTTGTAGGATTTTGAGGGGATCGAGAGTAGCTTTCCAACCTAAAAATTTTGCTATAACACGTTTGTGTTTTAGGCAAAAATCGGGTGATGTCTAAACTACGGTGATTAATCGAGGTAAACAAATCTATAGGGTAGCTTAAAAGCGCGATAGCTTTGTCTATTCTCCATTTCAATTTCAGTTTCTGCCGATTTCGTTGACTATGGTTTTTCGTTTTTTACGAGTCCGCGGCACGCAACGCGTGAAAGAGAGGGATCCTATTACGCAATGCAAGCGAGTAGGCGACGTTGCGCGTCGCATAATTAAAAGCTAAATATACCCTCTTCGAGCTTCACTTCCTCACACAGCCCGTCAACGCCACGCTCCCGGAGGTGTTTATTCACATCGGAGACTGCCAGTTCGCCCAGTTTTTTCTTCAGGGAACCGTCACTAAAATCGGGCAATCTAGCAGAGATTCCTTGAGGAAAGGGAAAGAGAGGGGAGAGAAAGCGAGAGAGAGAGAGAGAGAGAGAGAGAGAGAGAGAGAGAGAAGAGAGAGAGAGAGAAGAGTGGTGAGAGAGAAGAGTGGGAGAGAGAGCGAGTGAGAGAGAGTGAGAGAAATAGCGAGAGAGAGAAGCTGAGTGAGAGAGAGTGAGAGGGAGAAAGAGAGAGAGAGACCACGTGATCTCCCTCCTGTCCATAGTCACATCAAACAGTACTGCGATGGGATTGGCAGCGTCCTAAAAACCTGCGTTAAATCCCACTGAAAATCGGGCGTTCCAAATCGAGCAACCAATTTTAAACACCGTCTCGATGAACTGCACTTTCACGTGTCCAGAAAAAAAGTGTTGCCTATTTTGCCACTTTCTTTTTTTTTCTGCGAAGGCGCGAAATCAATAGAATGGCCCAAAGCTCCTTAAAGGGATAGGGGCGCCATGAGTCAATCGATTACGCGCGGGAAAGAAAATGTCTCTGCGCCTCCTGGGCGCGCTCTCGCCGCTAGTAATTAGCTGAACCCCTTCCAGGGGGGTTCAACAGATGCCGTCCTCATCTCTTTAACGGATGATGGGTTTTCTAATGCGGAAAAGTAATCAGGGCACAAGCAACTCCGAAAAATCCACGGCCAAAAACTGCAAAAACCAACATATAGCCGTCTCAAATTGTAGTCGCGCAAACCAAGAAAGGGTGGCAAACAAGCGCAACATCATATTTTGACGGACGTAAGAAAATCGTACAAAATTTAAAAGCTTAAATTACATAGAAACCAACTTGTAAGTTCTCGGCACCAGGCTTCGATTTGGTTGGGAGAATTGGGAAAATTCTCTGGAGGTGGTCGGCCGGCCTGGAGGTGGTCAAAAAAAAGGTCGCAAAAAATTTTCGCCGCTTCGCGGCGGGTATTCCAGCAACAATTCAAGACTGTGCCGTTGGTTCAACTTAGGGTAACTAAAAATGGCTAAGAAATACCCCAAAAACTACTTTAGACCATATTTTTTTCGCAGAAGCACCAGAAGCGATCGACAATAACGACAATCGAATATTACCTTGCGCGTTGATTTTTGTGTAATTGTGAAATAAATATTGTGAATAAATGCTGAATTACTTGTTAATTTTCGGTGAAACAGTCAAAGAAGACGGAATGGTGACGGAAAGCTGAGGAGAAGAAGAATTCCAAAAATAATTCCTGCTAAATTCTCTACATTCTTATTCCCCACCACTTCAACTTCACTTTCGAGAAAATGCAGACTCTATATTATGGAATGGATAATATGGAAGATAAACAACTCCTTCCTATTTCTCAAATCTTTTTCTAAACTATTCATGTTTCTCGGACCAGCTGCATGGCGGACAACGCTTAAACTCTTCTCAGCCGCCTTTAAAGGGACACGGACACGGGACTTTTTCCGACCGTAGTTTTCCGAACCGGCCTGGACCGCCTTCTTACCTACACCAATCGACGCGTCTTGAGCTTGCGCATCCGCCTATACATATGGGAAAAGCCATGAAAAGTCTGTTAGACAACCTCCAACCCCCATTTATGCTAATTTTAGGCCGAAAAGCAGTTTTCCGGATCGAAATCTCCGGAAATGACTCGGATCAATTTTTAACCCACATCAATCGACGCGTCTTGATCTGCCGCATCCAGTGATGCCCATTGAAAAGTCCTAGAAACTTCGTTAGATTACCTCCAACCCCCGATTTATGAGGGATTTTAGGCCAAAAACGCAGTTTTCCGGTCACCGATTTCCGGAATCGGCACGGATCCATTTCTAACCTACACCAATCGATGCGTCTCAACCTGCCGCATCCGGTGATACCCACGAAAAGTCCTAGAAACTCGTTAGACAACCTCCAACCCCTTTTTTTTGTTTGGGCCCCGTCGGGATTTCTGGAAATTTCCGACCAAAATCTCGACGCTAGATCGTCCCCTGTTCTCCGGCCTCTATCTAGTTCCCTGATTTCAAAAACCACCTCCCTGTGCAGCCACAGATCACATCTTTATCCCTAGAAGTTTTAGCCCCATCGGTTCGGGGAGAAAAAGATTATTGAAATAAAAATCTTGACCTTGGGAGCAAACCTGGGATCGGCCCCTTTAGGTGTTTCCTTAATTCCAACTTTCTTCCTTTCTCCACCATCTCCCATAAAGATGTCGCATATCAGGTGATAGCTGAAAGTCTCCTCTATCCGATGGTGTGCTTTACTTCGCGTCATCTACTTCCTGCTACGATTTATCCGCCAAAAACCCTGGGGATCAAACGTGGGAGCAGCTGAAACCTGGACAAATAGGGAGGTTGGAGGTTGTCTAACGAAGTTTTTAGGACTTTTCGTGGGTATCACCGGATGCGGCAGGTTGAGACGCATCGATTGATGTGGGTTAGAAATTGATCCGAGTCATTTCCCGGAAATTCGATCCGGAAAACTGCGTTTTTCGGCCTAAAATTAGCATAAATGGGGGGTTGGAGGTTGTCTAACAGACTTTTCATGGCTTTTCATATGTATAGGCGGATGCGCAAGCTCAAGACGCGTCGATTGGTATAGGTAAGAAGGCGTCCAGGCCGGTTCCGGAAAACTACGGTCGGAAAAGTCCCGTGTCCGTGTCCCTTTAAAGGCGGCTGAGAAGAGTTTAAGCGTTGTCCGCCATGCAGCTGGTCCGAGAAACATGAATAGTTTAGAAAAAGATTTGAGAAAATAGGAAGGAGTTGTTTATCTTCCATATTATCCATTCCATAATATAGAGTCTGCATTTTCTCGAAAGTGAAGTTGAAGTGGTGGGTGAATAAGAATGTAGAGAATTTAGCAGGAATTATTTTTGGAATTTCTTCTTCTCCCTCAGCTTTCCGTCACCATTCCGTCTTCTTTGACTGTTTCACCGAATATTAACAAGTAATTCAGCATTTATTCACAACATTTATTTCACAATTACAAAAATTCAACGCGCAATAATATGTCCAAACACACAAAAAAAATACCGAAATTTTCCCTAATCTACACATATAATATGGTAAAAATTTGCTGGCCGCTTCGCGGCCGGTCTGAGGTGGTCAGCCCTTCTGGAGGTGGGCCTGGGATTCTGCTCCCACCAAATCGAACCCTGCTCGGCACGCCCATCTCGAAACGTCGCAGCCACGAAGATCCGTATGTACCATTAATGCGTAGAAAGGAGGTATCGGAGAAATTGGAGGACGGTTGGTGCTAAAAGAGTTGAATTTCTTAAACCGTGCTAGCCCTGAAATTACCCGAATAATGTCTACCAAGGTAGCATGGAGATCATGATGAGAAGACAGGAATTCACTATTTCTGAAAAAACCATAATTAGCTCTTTTAAAGGGAACGTGCCAGCAGGAAAGATAAAACCGAAAACCTACCTTTTGAGCACTTTTTGCATGTTTGTCTCCCTTAATGTTTTCGGGAGTGAGACGAGCATTAATGGGTTGTTTTTGTCGTACAATCCCTGCTTGGTATTTACTGCCTAAAAAATGTATGGTAACACAGTCAGAATTGTGACATCCAGTGTGATCTACAGTATCCCTTTCACAAAACTCACACTGTCATATCGTGGCCCGTGGTCGCCCATCACGATTGTCACCGCGTTGTCAAACTGAAAATCGTTAGAATTCCGCGAAATCACAGCACAAAATTGGCTGCAAAGCCCAGTCAAAAACCGAAGTCAGCGTAAGCTAAGCTTCCGAAGTCCTGAGCCTAAGCCTAAGCCTAAGCTAAGCAAGCCTAAGGAAGATTTGAAGCCGACTTATCTTTTCGCAGAACTGTGCAGCTCGTTTAGAAGAGAAAAAAGGATGCTACAAAGCCTAATCAAAAACCCGTATTAAGCCTAAAGTAAGCTAAGCTTCCGAAGCCTAAGCTAAGCCTAAGCCCAAGCCTAAGCAAAATTGAAGTCCTCGCCGGATTGTGCTAGAGAAATGAGAGACAGCGCGTTTGAAGGAGCGGAAAATGTGCTACAAAGCCCAATCAAAACCGAAGTCAGCCCAAGCCATCCTTCCGAAGCCTAAGCTAAGCCTACGCAAAATTCGAGGTCGACTTATCTCTGCGTAGGAATGTGCTAGAGAAATGAGAGACAGCGCATTTGAAAGAACATGAAAATGGCTACAAAACCCAAATCAAAACCGAAGTAAACTTAGGCTAAGCTTCCGTAGTCTAAGCTAAGCCTAAGAAAATTTTAAAGTAGGCTTATCAGTTTGTCTTCGTCTTCGTATCCGAAATACCTACTTTATGCTTATTCTCCTCGAAAAACCGTCGAAAATCGTGGTCGGTGTTGGCCATCGGTCGTTCCGAGTCGTGCGACGCAGCCACGCTCCACATTAACGACATTTTTGGGGTTCCTAGGAAAAGGAAAGGTACCGTGGTTTAAGGGTTTAAATTATGCTTCTCCGCCCACCCTGGTTGGGCCCCCTAGGGGACAGAGGGGGACTGAAGGGGGGGATGGTGGGGCCCTGGGGCACCGGGGCCCCCATGACCGTGCCCCTACCCCTGGAGGCATGGAGGTATGGCATCTACGAGTTCCATTCGCTATACCGAATTTTCACTATACCGAATTTTCGCTATACCGAATTTTCACTCTACCGAATTTTCGCTATACCGAATTTTCACTATACCGAATTTTTGGTATACCGAATGTTCACCATGCCGATTTTCACGATACCGAATTTTCACCATGCCGAATCTTCGCCATACCAAATTTGATAAGCGGTATGTTCCCCATTTTTTTACTGTTTTTTTTTCCAAATAGATGGGCTAGAAAGTTAGAGTTAGCCTAGAAATTTCCAAAAACGCAGGCAGATCGTAGGTCCCGTAGGCGCAGCAGATTTTCTGTTGCACCGCAAAGTCCCAGCCGATCTTAGTTATTAATATTAGTAGAGAATATTAGTAGTAGAGTAGCAAAAATTCGGCATAGCGAAATTCGGTACAGCGAAAATTCGGTATAGTGAAAATTCGGAATAGCGAAAAATCGGTATAGTGAAAGTGGGGATGGTGGGGGCCCCCCCGGGGGGGCCACCATCCCCTTCAGTCCCCCCCTCTGTACCCCCTGGGCTCACCCAGGGTGGGCGGAGAAGTACTCGTTTAAATGGCATAGAAGATCTTAATTAAATTTTAATTAATCGTTTTCGGTGCATTCTTTAAAGGGAAAGGTACGCCCCGCCATCCATCACGCAGCTGCTGTTCGGAAAAAATGTTTCGGAAAAAGTCAAACTTTGGAAGAACTTTTGCGCCCTAATTCGCCGAGGATTTTTGTCACTTTAAATTGTTTTTTTTTACTATTCCTAAACTGAAACTTCACAAATTTTTATAAAAAAACATCAAACATATGGTTTTTGACGAAAAAAAGGTTTTCTGGAAGTTTCGACTTTTTCTGGATGTTTTAAAGTTTTTTCATGGTTTTTTAGTTTAAATATAGCTATATATTTACCAAAAACCCTAATAAAACTCTATCGACTTTCTAGGGATTTTCAGAGTTCTGCAGAAAGGCCGTCCCCCCCGGAAATTCGAAAGGACCTCGCGCTCTACCTTGCCAGCAAGTCAATTTCTGACTTTTCAGATGGCACACTTCAGCTTTATTCAGTTCAGTTATTCAGTCACGCGGGAGGCCGCTGTATGATGCAACATATAAAATTTTGTGGTGGTCTCGCTCCAGTGCCGAATTCAACTCGAAGCGGAAAGGAGCTAAGGCTTAGGTCTCTTCGGAATCGGATAGAACGTGATCAGAAACCCCCAACCTGATAAAAAAAATTATTAAAAAGTTTTTGTTTAGATTATTAAAATTAACTTTGAAAGTGGCGCCTTAGTAAAACGAGCGGGGACGGATGCTTGCACGAATTTGGGCATAGTGCGCCAGGTCGCGCGCGTTTCGACGTGGGAGCGGGAGCGCAGGGGCGTAGGCCGAGTCCAGCCGCTTACAGCATCGAAGCCGCTCGAAGCGGCTGGTGAAACACAGGCGATGTTTGAACACGAGGTAGGTTTACAAATCGATGTTTCGAAAAAAGACATAACCTGGCGGAAATGTGATACCGTAATCATACGCCATGGGGATTTTTTTGGCTATTGACTCCAGCCTGATTTCATCGACTTCTCGACTCAATATTTTTTGATAAACAACGCGTTCGCGTTGCCGCCTTCACGGAGATTGTATTACGCAACCGAAAATTGCGCGTGTTCGTCACGTGGGATCGATGCGACTAAATTCGGCGAGATCGAAAAATTCTCAAAAAGTATTGTTTCGAAAGAGATATGATTCAAAAATCGACGAAACCCAGGTGGTTCTGGATTCATTAATAACTGTTCGCGCTGGCTTAAACTACTACGAGCCCACAAACATACCCGGGTAGGCGTCAATGAACTTCTTCTGGTGGTCGAGCAGGTGGACATAGGGGTATCGGCATTTATCGTGATCGAAATGGCATCTTTTAGAATGCGATCCGTTTGGTAGGCGCCTCGGATTTGGAAGGGGCTGGAAATAGAATATCTTGGTTTTCCTGAAGAATCTCTGCTAGCCTGCCCTCCCTTTCGGGGTCCGTCCATTTCCTCCTCCAATCTCCTGCTAGCCTGCCCTCCTTTCGGGGTCCGTCCACTTCCTCCTCCAATCTCTGCTAGCCTGCCCTCCTCTCGGGGTCCGTCCATTTCCTCAAATAATCTCTGCTAGCCTGCCCTCCTCTAAACTTCGTGTCTTTCCTTTCAGCTCGTCAAGCGGGGGCGCGCATTTCGCCGCATACGAGGAATGAATGACTGATAGAACGAGACCATGCCCAAGAAGCTTTCAACTTCCTCGGGCATGTCGGTTGTGGCGTATTTGCTATCGCCAGCCGTACGCTGGGCATCCGGTCTTCGGCCTTGTGAATCCAATATGAAACCAAGATACTTCACCGAAGCCTTGCCAAAAAGTGCACTTCTCCATTTTGACGCGCAATCCAAACTCGTTGGTTCGCTCAAATAAACGACGGACCCTGGTCGTCATGCTCCTCCTGGTACGGCCGGTGATGAGATATCGTCCGGTAGGCAGCGGTCCCGTCCAGGCCTGGGGGATCAAATTGTCCACTATCTTCTGAAAGATACCAGGAGCAGTCTTCACACCAAATATCAAACGTTGATATTGGTCAAGCCTTGCTGAGTGTGGATAGTTAGGTATTCTTGGCTTTCAGCCTCAACCTCAATCTGCAAATATGCATCCTTCAAGTCAATCTGAGAGAAAATTTTTCCACCGTTCAGCTTGGTGAAAATATCTTCTGCAGTGGGGAGTGGATGGTGATAATCCCCAAAGCTGCGTTCCAGCCGGTAGAAAATCTCCACAAAGTCTCATAGAACCGTCCTTCTTTTGACAGGTACGACGGGTGCAGCCCATTGACTGTACGTGACCGGTTTCAGCACCGTCAAATCAACAAGTCGCTGGATCTCTTGTTCAATGGCTGCTTCCATTGAAAATGCAACGCGCCGAAATGGCAAAGTATTGGCTGTGCGTCAGGCTTTAGCTGAAGCTCAGCTTTGGCCTTTGATAAAAGCCTAAGCTGTCCTTGAAGACGTTCGGAAACTTCTTGAGCAACTCTTCTTCGAGTGCAGATTAGCTTGAGTGTGACCTTGTTAAAAGGCCGTCCGCCAGTCACTCGAACAGCCCCAATATGGCTTGGCACAGTTTTTCGACCCTGTTTTTTTGACGGCATCGGAAAGAAGATAGTCGAATTAGTAGGGCTGCGTAGTTTTGAAAGTTTAAAAGTTAATTTAGTGTTTAAATGGGCCTCAAAGTAGCCGGACCCCGAAAAACTATCTCGAAAGCTACTGCACCGAATTTGCTTAAACAACGTGACAATACCTAATTTGGCATGGGGATCATTTCTCCTAATACATCGCAAAACGCGAAAATGACGGGAACATGGTTAAAATCGAATAGTAAAAACAGTTTTTCAAGACTTTCAATTTTTAGTATTCCGAGTGCAACTTGAAACTAGCATAGAAAGATGCTCCAGACTTTTCTGCATCGATTGGTGTATCATTTAGCTTGCGCGAGGCCCACAAACATTGAGAAAAATCTGCAGGTTGTAGGCGAAAAAAGCGATGGAAAAAATGTCCCATAAAAATACAAAGTTGTTAATTTTCTTAATCTGAGGTATCAAACGCATATAGAAGCCGAGCTGAAGCGATTGCAAAAAAGAGCAAAAAGAAATTCCCTTGGGCGCGGGGGGTAAATTCCGGTCTTTCGATGTCGCGGAATCGAACCCGGACCCTGCGCTCGGGAGCCTTGTGGCGCAATGAGGAGGCGTCGAAGTGCCAATCCAGATACGGCCGCTGTTCAATCCCAGCCCCCTCTCAGAAGCCGAATTTCTTTTTGCTCTTTTTGCAATCGCTTCAGCGGCTTCTATATGCGTTTTGATACCTCAGATTAAGAAAATTCAACAACTTTGTATTTTTAGGGGACATATTTCCACGTTTTTCGCCCACAAATCGCGATTTTTCTCAATGTTTGTATTCCTCGCGCAGCTAAATGATACACCAATCGATGCAGCAGAAAGTCTCGCGCATCTTTCTATGCTAGTTTCAAGTTGCACTCGGAATACTAAAATTCGAAAGTCTTAAAAACTGTTTTTACTATTCGATTTAACCATGTTCCCGTCATTTCGCGTTTTGCGATGTATTAGAGAAATGACCCCATGCCAAATTAGGTATTGTCACAAGGTTTAAGCAAATTCGGTGCAGTAGCTTTCGAGATAGTTTTTCGGGGTCGGGCGACGTGGAGTACATTTAAACACTAAAAATTAACTTTACAAACTTTCCAAAACTATGCAGCCTACTAATTCGACTTATCTTCTTTCCGATGCCGTCAAAAAACAAGGTCGAAAAAATCTGTGCCAAGCCTATTTCGGTCCACCCGCAAACGGCCTTTTAACACACAACTCATCAAAACAAGAAGCGAATTGTGGCAGCTGATCAATCCAATCAAGCCCCATCAAGCGAATGTTCTTGGTAACAAAGCCTTTGCCTTGACCTTCAATGCCTTTCACTTTGAAAGTGGTATCGAAGCAACCTTTCACTTCAATTGGCCCACCATTGGCGGCACGTAGTTGTATATCAGAAGGTTGAAGTGGCGGACAATTCAATTTAGTCCCACAAAACTTCATCAATCAGCGTTACGGCAGCGCCCGTGTCCAATTGGGAAAGTAAAAGCGATGCCATCGATCGAAAGTTCAACGCCTTTGCGCGTTGAATCGACAGCATTGATGTGAATTATCGCGTTCACCCTCGGCTTCCAATGCTTATTGGCTTTTGAATCTCTCGGCCTTGAGAAATTATTTCCTTGGTTCTTATCAGAACTTCCAGCGCGACACTCT